TCCTACGGGTTCAGTCAGTACGTAGAACGTATCCCCCAGCGACTTTTGTTTTTCAGTTGTTATGGAAGTATGGAGTTGAACGGTTGGTTTCAGAACAAGAAACGTTTTTAACCACTGCACTTGTTGAAAAAACGATCATCACCTGCTCCCGTAATTATGTCTTCAGATCTCCTGTACACCGTACTTATCTGACGGCCGGGAAATTAAGTTCTGAAGATGGAAGGTCGTTAGTTTGGTCAGTGGTCAGTCATCACAAAATGTGCTTATTTTGCGCAATATATCTCTAGCTAAGCTCATTTCAGTACCCGTTCACTATAATATATGCCCACTTTTATGTCAGTACATCCTCATCTAGCAAAGTCCAGCTGAAGCTACTAACAGTTACCTACAGCTCTATCCTATTATCACTTTTCCCTCCAATTCTAGCTCTTTTCCAGTGACTTCAATTTCATTCCAATGGTGAAAAATCGTGTAAAATGGTGACAAATAGTGAATGATTTTGTTTTCATTGTAAAATTTCACCGTTTTCACAATTTTTCACCATTGGGACCCCCTGCAGGTCTCTCCCGGTATTGGGATGGCCTGAGGTGCTTATATCCTTTTCAGTAACTCTAACCCACTTGCACTCTCTAAAAAGGGAGTGGTCACGGGTTTAAACATACATAAAAATTATCCACTCAATTTGTTTTTGAAGTAGAGACCCTAGGGAGCACAAATAACATTTCAAACCTTCTAAACTCGCTAAGTTGTGCCAGGTTTTAACCAGTTACAGGATTACAAGTTGCTCCACTCTTCTGTGTGGTTGCAACACACAGGTGTGCATTATAACTGAAAATAATAATTTCGCCGATCCGAAAGGTCTGCGTTATACGGTTATAAGATCATTCGTTTTTCAACAACTTCCATCCATTAGCTGTTTACATGCGGACAGTTGTTAGCTTTCTCTAAATTCGATGCTGATTCTATTGTTATTAGTGGTGTCTTTAGACTCTCTTCCTTTTCAAGGTAAGCTGAACTTATAAATTGCATTAAGCAACCCTTGGTTCCACCACTGCTGAATATATGATTAACATTATTAAATTGTTTATTCGTTAATATTTGAAACTTTTAAAATATTGATGCCTTTTCCCAATCCTGAGTAAAAATTTACTACATTGAGTAAATATAACGGATAATGTGTATCCTCGCAGAAAACATAAATTGTTTCAACTGGAAGGAGGATCCCCTGGGTCTCGAATACAAAGGGCTCAGGAACACAACGGAAAGTGGGCTTGTCTGCCAGAAGTGGACCTTGCAGACACCAAATTCACATAGTAGGACTCCACAAAAGTAAGCCAACTGTTTAGGGAATTTATTTATCTATTAACTTAGACAAGTTGATTGATAATATTCATTATAATCATTAAATTTAATGATTATCCTCATATTTTCTACTGATTGCTCACTCAGTCACCCCGACGCTGGGCTGGGAGATCACAACTTCTGTAGGAACCCAGACCATGAGAAAGGCGGACCGTGGTGTTACAACTCACAAGGGACAGAACCAAGATGGAAACATTGTGGAATATCTAACTGTACTGCGGACAATAGTAAGCTAGATTTTAGCTAGATATTAACACACTTTTGATTACTTCCCGGTATAAAAAAGGAAGTTACACTCGGTTTCATCCTCATAAATCATAATAATTCACTTCATTTTTGATCATTATTCGCTTACAATAATATAATAATCCAGTATTATGTAATTAATATAGACGCATTTAAACTCGTAACCATTACAAAGCATGAAACAAGGTTTATGGCTATGCTTTTATGCTTTTTTTTATAATTAGCAAGCAGGTCACAGCTGAAGTAAAATTTGGAGACCCTGATTGATAATATTCATTGACCCTGACCCTGACCCTGACCCTGACCCTGACCCTGACCCTGACCCTGACCCTGACCCTGACCCTGACCCTGACCCTGACCCTGACCCTGACCCTGACCCTGACCCTGACCCTGACCCTGACCCTGACCCTGACCCTGACCCTGACCCTGACCCTGACCCTGACCCTGACCCTGACCCTGACCCTGACCCTGACCCTGACCCTGACCCTGACCCTGACCCTGACCCTGACCCTGACCCTGACCCTGACCCTGACCCTGACCCTGACCCTGACCCTGACCCTGACCCTGACCCTGACCCTGACCCTGACCCTGACCCTGACCCTGACCCTGACCCTGACCCTGACCCTGACCCTGACCCTGACCCTGACCCTGACCCTGACCCTGACCCTGACCCTGACCCTGACCCTGACCCTGACCCTGACCCTGACCCTGACCCTGACCCTGACCCTGACCCTGACCCTGACCCTGACCCTGACCCTGACCCTGACCCTGACCCTGACCCTGACCCTGACCCTGACCCTGACCCTGACCCTGACCCTGACCCTGACCCTGACCCTGACCCTGACCCTGACCCTGACCCTGACCCTGACCCTGACCCTGACCCTGACCCTGACCCTGACCCTGACCCTGACCCTGACCCTGACCCTGACCCTGACCCTGACCCTGACCCTGACCCTGACCCTGACCCTGACCCTGACCCTGACCCTGACCCTGACCCTGACCCTGACCCTGACCCTGACCCTGACCCTGACCCTGACCCTGACATGCAAGAGCTAACTGGCTGTTTTAAAGTTGTATCTTAATGTTTCCTTAACTCAGATTGCAGATATAATGCATTTTAACCCACCTGTAGAAACTTCGAACGCCGTAGATGATACTAGTGAAAGTAACCTGGTGGATCAGCACCTGGCGGATCAGCACGAACGTGCTAAAATTGAATCACTGACACTCTACACTTGAAACCAACAGTTGAAACCAACTTGACGTATTTTCGGCGTATTTTCGGACGCTGACTCCATTGAAATTCCATTAAGATGCTCTCCTGGTGAGATATTGGCGAAACAAAAAGCTGTCTCGATCACGTTATATGACCATATAAGGAAGTTGGTCTACTTTTTCGTTAGTGTTTCAGCATATGCTCATGCTTTTGTTAGAGATTGGGTAAGGGGCCATTTACTTAAGACCTCCGGCAAATAGCTAGGGAGGGGGTGGTTTTGGAATTTCGGACAAATCCGGACAGGGGGAGGGGGGTGGTTTCTGAAAGTGAAAATCTGGACGTCCGGAAATTTTGGCAGAATTGACAAAAAAGTTTCATTTATTTCAACTCTTTGACGCTAATTACTTTGTAAGTTTAGATCCCAGATCCCTGTATTTTGAACGAAAAGTCGATTCCCGGCCCAGAGCAGCTCATGAGAGCCGAGACACAACTTGCATATTCTCCTACTGCCTTTATAAAACTTATTCGATTGGCTGGATGGCTATTTAAATACTTAATTGTAACTGTGCTAAACTTGTTCGATACTAAATGTATTATTGTTTATTTTGAGTAGGTAGTGCGCCATCGACAGTGAGCCGCGCGTATACTGCCGACTGTAGAATGGTTTTTTAGTATAGCGCTAATTTCGGCCAGCACAAAATTCTTGAAACAAATGCATTATTGAGTAACTTTCTCTCGATCCAATTGTAACAAAAATTGGTTAGCTTACTGATAGTTTTTACTTAAATTTAAAAGAAGACTGTCCGAAAGATTTGAGGCATATCCATTATCAATATCCAATCATCAAACATTATAAATTACAGCTCAAAGCAACGTCCGCGTCATTTTCATCATTATAAGTATACGGATACCTACTTCGTACTTCAATATTGAATATCCACCAAGTTTTTCGGGCAGTTTTGAAAGTCCGATTGGAAGTTGTAGCGCGATGCACTACTGGGTCGCGCGCGCATCAAATAATGCTTCTCAGCTCGGTAGATCGGCAAAATGCACCACTGTGCCTCACCGAGCTGCGAAGGATTGACATTGTGAATCGAGATTGGAAGGTTTTTACAAATTTTCAGAATGTAAATGATCTCATTCCAGGAACCGAAGATACGACAAAATAATACAACAAAAACCAACGATCAATTTTGTCAAATTTGAAATTACGAGACAATTTACATGTTACACTTACTAATACTAAAGCTCCAAAAGCCTCGCATCATCAAATATGGCACCTAGGCCTAGGCAATTTGGCTAAACTCATTAATCATTCCAAAAAGGTATGATTAATGAGCGAATTAGTAAAAGCCATTATATATATTAAATTGATCTAAATCGCGGTGTACCTGGGGACCTCAGGCCGGCTAGGCGGCTATCATGTTCATAAACATAAAATAGAGATTAGGCGGGTTAAAGTTTGGGCTAGGGTTGGGATTAGGGTTTATGTAAAACCGTTTTGTACGGCTGCAAAACCATAAAAACCAAAGTCACGTGAATTTTTTTTACTGGGCGGCGCTTAAACTGTCATTCCGCCTAATCTCTATGATTATAAACATAAATATAATAGCCTGGGGTCCCCAGGTAATAATTTTTGGGCGAGCAAATTAGTAAAACTAAGAGCTCGATCATATTCATGCATGCAGTTGCGGTGCATTTTGCATTTTTTTCCCGCAGCGCCGCGCGCAGCACAAATTTTAGAAGGTTATAAGGCGTAAGCTAAATAACTTTGCGAAGGAGCATACCATGACGTACATTCAAAATACAAGTATGTTATGGAAACGCTACAGTTTTTGTCAACCTATAAAAGTATAAACAGCATTATAGCGTTTAAATCGTAAACATGGTTTAAATTTTGTTTATCAGCGAATTTGTTGATTTTATATACGTTTATTCATATAGAATCACTATTTTGAAAATCTTTGGGTTATCCCTGTTAAAATTTGGATTTATATAGTACAACTACAACGATCTCGTAGTGCTGCGTTCGCTTTTGTGTCGTGTAACCTGTAGCCGCTAACCACTATACTATTAGTATTACTACTCTAGTGCCTTCTTATAGTTTAAACTTTAACCACTTTTCTAATTGAAAATAATCATTTCGCTTCGCCCTCGTTTTTATTTTTATATAGTTATACGTGTACCACTATTCGATTGCTCCGGCACTGTTATTCTATATAATCTTAAACCTTCTGCAGAACGAACAGTTATTTTGCGATATGACTTTAAACCACAACAATGATTACTTCAACCACAATGACGACAAATTTATTGACGGATCAGATAGTTTTACCTCCAACAATTACCTAAAGGTTATTATAATTCGAATTTTTTGTCTCAGCCCCTTTTGAGTTTGAACCCACTGCCATTGAAATGACATTCAATCATTAACTTAGTTGGTAGTTAATGATGTCGATAATTCATCCTAAAACAGGAACCTTTACAATATCTAAATTGATTTTTCAGGGACTTGACGACTTACGAAGATCAGAACAACTCAGTGACATTACAATATGTTGTGAAAACGACAACTTTCCTGCTCATAAAGTAGTTTTAGCAGCAAATTGTCCGTATCTTCGGGCAATGTTTACTAATGGGATGAAGGAGAGTAAAAGTAAAGAAATACATTTGAAAGGAATTTCAAGTGCTACTTGGGCGAGTGTCATGAATTACATGTACACGCGGGAGATCGTCGTGACAAAATCCAATGTTTTGGATTTAGTCGGAGCTTCATCGATGCTTCAGATCGAGGATTTAAAGCAAACTTGTTCAAAGTTTTTAGCTCAACAGATTGACTATAGCAATGTTATCAATATCAGAAGTTTTGCCCAAAAACTGTTCTTGGAAGAGCTAAGAGAAACTGCGACCAACTTTTTGACTGATAATTTTGAGAAAATAATTGATGGCGATGAATTTCTGGATATGGAACTATTCGATTTAATCGATATTCTAAAGTTTGACTTCCTGCGAGTAAGGTCAGAACATGTGCCACTTTACGCCGCCCTAAAGTGGCTACAACACGACTTGAAGAATAGAAGCGAACACAGCAACGAAATTCTAAAAAACATCAGACTCCTTCATTTCACCAACACTTCATATATACAGAGACTGGTCGACAAATTACCCCAACTATTAGAATCACCTGAAGATTGTGAGAAATTTCTATCCAATCTCGGCAAACGATGTTCCAAGCGGAGATTGCTCGGTTCGTTGACGGAAGATACCCTTTCTTTTCCCAGGTAAATTTGATCAGTTCAATAATTATAAACTGTCTAATACTCAAGAATGTTTATCATTTGTTAAAACAATTGAAATCTTTATGTGGAATAAATTCTAAACTGTTTCTTGCAATTTGAGATTTCAGTGTACTTTTCCATCAGATGGTTTCCCCAAGAAACAATTTACGTAGTCGGAGGTCGTAACAGAGACTCCTGTCTCTCTTCGTTGGAAAGTTACGATCCTAACTCAAATTCTTGGAACATGCTGGAAGGAATGAAGTCACAGAGAACTGCGGTGGCCATGGCTTCAATCAACAATCACATCTACTGTCTTGGAGGTTTGGCCTACTAGTACTTTAACTTAAAATACATTTAGATATTTCGAGCATATTTTGCTGATTTGTAAGACTCTGAAGGGGTGTTATACTCAAAAGTAAAGTAGCTTTATCAAGGAGCTTACAGGGGAGCGAGAGAATCCGGCCAGCAGGTCAGAAACACTCTACCTGGACGAGGTGGAACGGTACAGTCCTCAGTTCAACAGATGGACTAACGTCAGCAAACTTCTTACACCTCGATCTTTTGGTAAGTACCCTATCTGTTTATTCTTACAGTTTCGTTCCGACAAATTTGTCCAATATTAGAAAGGATATTCAAACTGAGAAATCACAAATATAAAGTAAATCTAATTTCAGGAGCATCAGCAATATGCAGAGGAGTAATGTATGCGATAGGTGGAGAGAACAACCAACGTTGTCACAACAGTACTGAAATCTATGACGAGACAAAGAACATGTGGATACCCTCCACACCAATGAACATGGTTCGAAGTGGGGTTTGTGCCACAACAGTGGACAATCGGATCTACGTGATCGGAGGACACGACAACTACAACAACTACATGCAGCACAACTCAGTGGAGGCGTTAGACCCTCGGGAGGGAAAGTGGCAATACTGCATGAGTCTGAACATAGGTAGATCGGGAGCCTCCGCCGGTAACATTGACGGCAAGATTTATTTGGCTGGTGGGAGGAACAGACAGCTGGGCAACTTCTTTGGGCTGTGCGAGTGTTACGAGCCCAGAGTGGACAGATGGTACCCTGTAGCCAGCATGGGCACCGTCAGAGCCTGGCCCGGATCGGCCGTTCTCGACAACAAGTAAGCGGCTGTTTGTTTGTATTTTATTTCTGAGTTCCAGCCTTTCATCAACATGAAATATAAATGCAGTTAAATCAAAATAGTTTTAATCGTTTCCAATTAAGTTTTTTAACCAATCACATCGGCGTTTCAGATTTTATGTGCTCGGTGGATACGATTGCACGGACAGACTGAGGACAGTGGAACTGTTCGATCCAAAAGAGAACAAATGGCAGAGATGTGGCAACATGGTACTTTGCAGGGCAGGTGCCTCGTCTTGCACCATTTAGGGTTTCTTATACAGTAATTATACGGATTGTCTTACACAAATTATTTTACAGTATAGATATAATCATCATTATTCTTGATCTTATTAGATAAGAATCTAATAAAATATTTCATTAAGCATTTCATCATTTCATATAAGCTTTTTATACGCAGTTTTATCAGATTTTTTACAGATATGTAGGATTTTATTATTATGGCTAACAATAACATGGCTTGGAATAACAGCTATTTTTTAAAGATTGTCTTATTTTCTTTTTAGTTATCAAATTATTCTTATGTTGTTAATACTAATAATATGCTATAATTTAACTACTATACAATATTGTTTTGGTAATCTTTCTTCGCTCATTTATGTAAATATTATGTACAGTATCAATTATCACTATCTATTGCGGTGTTTCTCAATGTTTTAAAGAAGAAATATCTGGATTCAATTAAATAAAAGAACAGTGAACACTTTCGAATATAATAAATTATCTTTTGAAACAGCTAAAACTATTTAAATCTATTTATAGTATTAGTACATACCATGCTTAATCTGATGTGTTTTCTGAAACTTTAATAAGAATGCGGTTCTGATAGTCTGATAACCTAAATATCTGCTCTAAAATAATATCATTGTTTAATCATGAATGGCTTATGTAATTATAAATTATATTTGAAAGCCATCAGCAAGTCAAGCTCTACAGATACATTTGTCAAACGCCCAACAAATTCACACAATTAATCGCAATATTAAGTTCAAATTTTATCTACTCGTCCCTAGAAAACAGACAGTTCAATTTTCAGAGACAAAAACACTAAAAGTAAACAAATCTACAAATACAAATATATTACTTTTGGTTGCTGGTCTTCGATAAACCATTTAAATAATTCTTAACCATCTTAATCCGTCTTATCTAATCAAGTAAACATTTAACTTAACTACAAAAACTCAAGATTCAAACATCACAAAATTCTGACCTAAGTTAAATTGTATTTAAGTCAGATAAGAACAATCAACTCTTGATAAGTCATAAGAAAAGACGTAAATCACAAATTAATTCAAACATTAAATTATCAAGTTAAATTGCTGCGTCATGATATAGGTATACCCACACTTTTGAGATGGCAAAAAGGTGGAAAATCTCAATCAAATTATAATATCTATATTTCAGGACAAAATAATCGTGAAATTTCAAAAACAACTTCAATTACCTCCCATTCCATGACCTAGTAACTGTAAACACATCTACTTACAAATATACACAAACTAAAAGAAAGTACTTATTATTCGTCAGGAGCAGATTGTACAGGATTTATCTGATAGTACCGATCTGTCCTTAGAAGCTGGCACAATATTGATGTTCGTTTGGGCTATTTTCTGATTCTCCCGTTTCATCAGAGATCTTGTAAGGTCCTCACAACAGTCCTGAACGTTGGTTCCTTTCTTAGCGCTGACTTCGCAAAACATTGCGTTATACTCCTGCAGTTATCTATAGTTAGCTCACAACTTGTACAAGTATAACGACAGTAAATTTAAATATCGCCATTTCACAATTAGCAACTTTTTAGTGGAGCTTTGTCTATAATAAAAACAAAATATTAAGATACTTTTTTCACCGAAAGACGTGATATTTGGTTCTGCTTTGAAATGTGAGATAGAAACTTCTAGATCGAAAAAATAGTTTAATTTGGTCGATCAGCTTATTTTAGCACGAACCCTGGCTAAAGATTCCCCGTCAACAGTTTTAACAGCCCGGGGTTGATCTCCAGTTGCTATGAGATCTGCTTTGTTGCCAAGTAACATGATAGTCGGCGCCTCGTCTTCTTCCTGAAACAATTATTTATCAACTATAATATAAAGCAGTTAAATTAATTAGTAATTATTTTTATTTGTTGCATGTCTCAGTGATGATTGTATTGGAATTGGACTTGTCATCTGTTGATAAAGAGCACTGATAGATTATATATCATAATAATATAATTGATCAGGTTAGAGGTACGGAACTCTGTGGTCTGAACTAAGCTAGTCAAGAACAAACTTAAAGTTTCGAAACTGTAGCCCTTTATCCTTTGGAATTGGTAATGTCTACAAATAGTTTAATATGGTACACGTTTATTAGATTGTAGATAAACATGGCTCTGTCTTTGAAGCTTACGGTAAGATTATTATCTATCGAACTATGTTCGATTTAACGAGCTGCAAAAGATAAGTTAATGGAATTAAACTTGTACCTGATTTCTCATAACGTAAATTTTATAGATTCAACAAGAAGATAAGCCCAGTAAGTTTAATTTCCCATTCAATGTGTGAAAAACATAAAATATTTGAAAGTTTAATGAGGAAGTGACCTTTTGTCTGTTTTGTCTGTTTTGTCTGTTTTGTCTGTTTGGTGATTTGCCAATAGTAACATCAGCACTATCCTAAACAGAATACAGCTAAGACCATTTTAAGGGCCAATAGTGAACTGTACACCTATCGCAACAACAAATCATAATTTGATCGTAATAAAACTAGTAGTAGTAGTATGTATAACTAACTAAGCATCTTACCTCAATACTCTGAATCCAATCACGGATGTTCCTGAAGCTTGATTCCCTGGTAACATCATACATAAGAAGTACTCCATCTACTCTACGTAGATAAGACTTAGTGATTGCCCTGAATCTGAAGATGTTACTTGTTAACCATAGTACTGTAGATCATTTCAATCTACCAAGTCAGACTCTCCCAATTTACCGACTCTTAATTAATGCTATTAATTATGCAGGAGCATTTGTGTTTAATAGTATAAGGCATCTATAATTTGACGCCTCTTGCATAAATCACACGTACTGGTTACTGGTCACACGTCACACGTGGTTACTGGTTACACGTGATAATGATAATAATACATTAAAATAAGGGTAAATTAAAATAGCCGGCACCTCTCTTGTCCAGCGGTATCCCAGAGCTGAGCGACACTACTGTGTTTTGTATCAACATCGTCTTTACCTGTATCAGAGTGTTATTAACTACTCAATAACTCTAGACTTGTTGTTTAATAAGTTCATAACATGAGAATTATCTAAAACATATGTCAATATAACTGTGGTGATCAAAATCGTGAACTATGGCCAATACCAAATTGTTATATATAATACTAATCTCTCTAATTAATCCATTAGCAGTTACAGTCTATATATGGGTATTGTGAGTATTGCTGAACTAAAAACTAAAAACTATTAACTAAAACTAAAAACTAACCTGAAAATCTACTCCGATGGTAGGTTGAAAAGCAGCTTGAAACCTGTTGTGACACAGTCTCATGATAAAAGAGGATTTACCAACCGCACTGTCGCCTAGCAACACTACTTTAAACACACGCTCAGGTTGTCTCCCTTCTAGTGAGGTTACCGAACACACCTGTTTGGTTACTCTAATTAGGTTCTATCGGAATTCTAAGAATAACAATTCTCACTTGAAGGTGAAGCTTTCATCCAAACAGCTTGGATTTTAGATTTCTTAAAGCGCAATATCAGCAAAAGGATTAGATACTAACTTTTGATTATGATTATGAATACTCACTGAGTAAGGTTTGGTAGAGCAATCTGAAGTAGGAATATGGTATCCGCTATCTTGTCCACAATCATCACTGGTAACACTGGGACTATATCTGAGGTGAAGACTTTATGAAGGAGCAGTGACTTCAATTTTTGGAAAACAAATAGAATAATATATAACAATATAATTTACAACAATGTATATTGACCAGTGACTTCAATGCAGAAATGAGACAACTGATGCTGGGTTTGAAACTAATCGTGAGTGGTTTAAAAAATACATGATTTTAAGCATTAAGATTTACGATACCCTTGATATTCGATAGGAATTAAAAAGATGAATTTAATAAACTTATATTGTCAAAAACATGCATATTTAAATGCGTAGAACAGAGATAAAATCTTTAAATCTAACCCAAACAATTTCTGTGAAAATACCTCATAGTGGAAGCCATGAGAGGATGCGCGTGATTTATAGAAGATTGAAGAGGTCTCTTCCAGATAACCCCATCTCCGTCTACTGAATAGTGTTTTACCGGAGATTCCCCAGCTTCGTAACTGTCGTAACTATTCTCTATAATTGTTTGGAGTTGTTGAGTTTCTGTTTTCAGAATACAGGGATCTAACAGAAAGTAAACAAACATTGTATCTCTAAAAAGTAAGTATGACTGAGTGTACCAGCTGTAAAGAAGAGTATCTTGCAAAACATTACCTCTGGAGAAGGAAGGCTCTGATTCAGGTAGAGCGGAGTCAGTGCGAGAGGAGCCGTTAACAGGGCCCCCTCCTCCTCCTCCTACTTCCTCCTCTGAGGAAGTGTACCCGGACTGGTTCAGTGAGCCTGACCCTGCACCCCTGGTTAATTAATCGGTAATTCAATAATCTGTTTTAAATATGAAGACGAATAGATTGATTTTCAGTAATCAGAAAAATAACGATCAATACCAGCAAAAGACAATAAGATAGAGAACACAGACATAAGAAGATATTAAGTAGATGGTTGCCATGAAAACAAGTTTGTCTAACCTGCGTCTATGTCTCTTCTTATTGGCTCTAGGAGTGCTGGTTTCTATCGTCTTAGGTTTAGTAGAGCTGTTGAGGAGGGTTTGGTATTTCATCTCCAGGGAGTCCTTCTCGTCCTGTAAATCATCCTTCATCTTCCTGCGGTGGTGAGGTCAAGGTTAGTGGACTGATACCATATATGGGCATTTTACCATGTACGGGCATTTTACCATGGCAAGTGGAATAAGCATTTGCATTAATTTAAGAAAACAATGAAAAGTATTTGCTCTACTAACGCGAGCCCCTCAAACTGTCTCCTGAGCGATTCATTATCCTGCTGCAGCGCTTGTTTCTGACCTGTCTCACACAGCAACAAGTGAGCTTGCTCTTGCATCTGAGAAGGGGTGTGAGTGAGATAATAGCTTGCATCTTTGGGAGGGAACATGTTTAACTTGTGAAGCCGAGTTAAATGGACATTTTAAATACATTTAAGAATTCAACTGGCACTCATAAGCAGAATCACATAATTGATATAGATCTGGTGAATTTAGTGGTGGTGTTACCTTGTTTTTGAGTATCGAAATACGCTCCTTGTTCTCGAGAAGGGAGTTCTGACTGTTAGCTATCAAATGTTGCAGCTCTAGGTTTTCCTGCAACAAACACATGTCAGAGTGGTTAATAAATCAATCTATAAATCAATTAGTTAATTAATTAGATACTTTTCAAACTTTACAGAGTACAGCAAATATTAAGGATACAAATTAAAATAGTGTAAAAGGTTGCCACCATCTGTTAAATATTACGGGAAACCAAACACGGTATAAATACACAGGAACTGTGCCCGGCATAATTACATGTACCCGTTAAAACAAAGTTATGAATAGAAAGTAGAAACAAACATGTGTGGTGAAGATTGTGAAACAGTTAAAGTTTAGTCAGGCGGGCCTGACACACTGTTTTCTTCAGAGCTTACAATATTATTGTTCCTAATAAAATAAAATTCGTTAGGATTTGCTTTTCTTTTCTCTTTCAACTCCTCCCAGATCTCCTTGAAAGCTATCCTCTCTTCCTCAGATCTATCCCGACAGTCGAAGAAAGTATGGTATGCGCCCTCCTTGGAACGTAGTTTAGCTTTTCTCAGCACCTGATCTATATCACAAGTGCTAAGAGTGCGCTGCACGTGTCGTGAGGTGTTTCTCCTGGCTTCCCTCTTGGCTAATGTCTTCAATGCAGCTAATGCAGCACAGAGAGCAACTGCGCGAGCAAGGGCAGGTAAGCAGCTGAGAACAGCTGACAACCACCACAAATGGGTATCAAAAAATGTCATCCATCTACTATACCTCCCACTTGATCTACCCATGATATTACATGTATTATCCTATTATATATGGGTTAAAGCACTTTCACTGTATAAATATTACAAACTGTGACCAGAAGGCCAATACAACTTCAATTTGAGAAAATTGTGACTTACTATACACCCGTTACAAATAAAATCAAAATTAACAACATCGAAAACATTATCAAGAAATGTTAACTGTGCTCACGAAGGTAAAGTCTTTGGAAGGCTATTGTTCTTAAAAACTGTCAGCATCTCAGGAATTTGTTAAATGTTTGATTGTCCATCAGCTGGTGTACGTTTCGACTCTAGAATCTACAGTGTAGACTGTAGATCGCATACTTTAGAATCTACAGTGTAGATCACATACTTTAGAATCTACAGTGTAGATCACATACTTTAGAATCTACAGTGAACATCGCATACTTTAGAATCTACAGTGTAGATCACATACTTTAGAATCTACAGTGTAGATCACATACTTTAGAATCTACAGTGTAGATCACATACTTTAGAATCTACAGTGTAGATCACATACTTTAGAATCTACACTTCTACAGTGTAGATCACATGCTTTAGAATCTACACTTCTACAGTGTAGATCACATAATTTACAATCTACACTTCTACAGTGTAGATCACATACTTTAGAATCTACAGTGTAGATCACATACTTTAGAATCTACACTTCTACAGTGTAGATCACATACTTTAGAATCTACACTTCTACAGTGTAGATCACATACTTTACAATCTACACTTCTACAGTGTAGATCACATACTTTAGAATCTACAGTGTGGATTACATACTTTAGAATCTACAGTGTACTGTGTAGATCACATACTTTTGTGTAAGACTACTGTCCCTCAATTCCTCAAGTCTCCTTTGGTATCCAATTATTCAACAAGGACAAGTAAAAACAATAGTGATTGCCAATAAATCGACAGACGACAACGAGGAAATAAGAACAACAAGGCTATTACATTTTAACGCTTTACCAACAAGTACAGTTGAGGAGGCTCTCCTTTTCAGTAATCAAACTGATTTTTCCTAAAATTTAGCAATGATAATGTTTATTGTTGGTAAATAAGTAGTATTTTAAATATAAAAGTAAAATAGTCAGACTTAACAAACTAAATTGGTGACATACTTGTAAAGAATATCTAATATAATACCATGGAATGAGAGAGTTTCTTGGCTTTGTACAGAGATAACAAAGCGAGAAGTTGTATCCTAGACAGCCTTGACAACCCACCATCCTCCCGAAGAGCTTGCAGCGTGCGACGAGTAAAGTCACTCGACTCTTCAGCTTCCCTTCTTGTACCGTCTAACTGATCTTCATCTGTGCACGTGCACGCGGCGGCGCTCTCACGTGACGTCAAACCACGTGACCTGACGTCACGCACGTTACGCGTTGTACGTCCTATAGAAAGACTGCGAACGTGAAGACCAGAAGTGATGTGCACTTCCTGCCGAAGAGTTGATTCCTCTGTAATAGTTACTCTACTAGTTACACTACTAGTTACACTACTAGTTACACTACTAGTTACACTACTAGTTACACTACTAGTTACACTACTAGTTACACTACTAGTTACACTACTAGTTACACTACTAGTTACACTACTAGTTACACTACTAGTTACACTACTAGTTACACTACTAGTTACACTACTAGTTACACTACTAGTTACACTACTAGTTACACTACTAGTTACACTACTAGTTACACTACTAGTTACACTACTAGTTACACTACTAGTTACACTACTAGTTACACTACTAGTTACACTACTAGTTACACTACTCTCCAGTATCTTCATGTTGTTAAGTTCGGTTGATTGGATGTATTGTACAGCAAGGGGTAGGGGGCGGCGATAAGCACTAGAACAAGGTGCTCCAACATCAACTATCATCGGCAGACTAGCAAACTTATTAGGAAGTAGAGTGTAGGGTTAATAATGTTCCTTAATTCTTAGGAATAAATTTATAAATTACCGGGAAATAAATGGCATTATTTCAAAGAAATCTAGATAGTCATGAAGGAGCGTTGTTTCGAGGAATCCGTTAGAATCTTGATAAGCAGAGCGGAACTTAAAGAGCAGAATGTGAGAGTGCCAGCTTAGTAGCGGCGAGGTAGAGAGTAACTTTACACGTATTTTATAGACGAGTAGGACTTTAGCGGTAGTTCAGTAGATCTCCTGGTATGTAGAGAACTATAAAATACTATCTAGTTTCAACTTAAATAATAATATTTTTAAGGATAGACTCTAGTATTATGACGATAGAATCATATTCAATATCCAAATTATTTGTTGATGACCAGGGGAGGGGAATTATTTTCGCAATTATTTTCTACAAATGATCCGTCTCTAGTTACTACTGGTAGGTTCTGTGAGTAAGATTAGGTATCACATCATCACATCGGATTTAGTACAGGATAACTATCAAATATAGGGTTGAAATCATAAATAGTCTCCGCTGCAGTCATGCTGGGGAGAGAAAACTCACGTTGCTGGGACTGATTTTGATCCTGCGATTTCGATCTTTGCGTTTTTTGGCAGAACGTCCTTCAGCAATGTAGACACTGTTTTCACTGTGATATCGTATCATAGCAACCACACAGAAGCTGATAAGAGCACAGAACACAAAACAGCAGAGTAAATTAAACTAAACAAAGGCAGTGGGTAAAAGTTGCGCAAGTGCAGGATCTACACAGCGTGTGTTGCAATAAACTGGACAAACACCCCGGACAATAGTACACACTACTCTTATTGTGACACAGGGTGCTCCTTCACAAACTACACCTACTCAAGGAGACAGGGATTCCAGCCGGAATTATACTTCACTGCTGATGAGTGCTTGATATAACAAAGCAGTGCAGTATTTGTCCTGTCATTAATCCTTAACAGTATGAAGGTGTGGAATCTTTAGTGGGATCTGTTCCTGATGTCATGGCAACGCGGATATTTGAAATGCTTTCATAATAACCGTTATCCACTAATCTGTATCAACCGGTCTTTAGGATAATTATAGATGGTTTTTATTGTAATAATAGATTAACAGGAAATTAGCAGAGTGTTGATATAATTAGCACATAATTGTATTGTATGTGTATTTTAAGATCCTGTGGACTGTAGCGGGAAACGTTAAAACATGACAACTGCAACTTGCAATGTCGGTTGAATTTGCAAAACCCAAATAGTTGCAATAACTTACAAATTACAATAACTCCACGATTCTATTGTCTGTGCTCCGTGGAACAAACCGACAAAGTAGTCTAAGAAGTTTGAGCGTACTCACTTCTAATGTTAGCTCTGAAGTGCTGGAGTGTCGGCGGTTCCTTATCACTTCAGGCTCGCTCCATCTTCTTCTGTCCCTGTTGTAATACCCCATTTCACCGCCACCACCTCCACCACCTCCATTACTTCTACTACCACCACCACCACTTCTACCACCACCACCACCACTTCTACCACCACCACCACCACTTCTACCACCACCACTTCTACTACCTCCGCCTTTAATATATCTCGTATCAAACCCATTAACAAGTTGTGTCCACTGATCATTCTCCTCTGCATGCAATGCGCGGCTCGGCAAAAGCCTTCCAGACAACACGGGCTCCTTCATCAACAGATCTTCATCCTCCTCAAGTGAGCTTGAACTGTCTTGCTCAATCTCTTGGGAGTTGACAAGGCTAGCAAAGTTGGGATCAATGTTGATCTTCTTGACGATCTTTACGGAGCTTCTGCTGCTACCTTGACTCAATGTGTTCACGAGATCTATGTTTTCGCTTGCAGATTTGAAATCCTCTTCACGATCAATAGAGCTTACAGGTGAGTTACCTGGTGGACTGATAGGCCTAAAAGTACTAATATCATCCTGTTTAGTACCATCTTGTTTCCGCACTATCTCAGTCGAGATATCATCATCTTCCTTCATCGAATATTATTGAGCTGCTCTGATGCTCTACGAGGGTCTCAAGATTAGAATATAAAACGGAATCTTTTTCAGTAAGTCTGGTTAAGCTAATAGAAGCTGTTAGTTTCAACCCCAACCACTATGAGTCCACCCACAGCAGCGCACCACAACCCTTATCTTAAACAAAACAAAGCAACACACTGGACATACTACGCGAGTAGAAGCGATTAAAAAGCGGTGCTAAAACAGAGTAATGTAACCCCAGCTAGAGTTATGACTATGAATACTGGGGACTAGTACACGGTGAGTACATTGTATGTACACTACAATGAGTGATGAGGTGTATGGGATCTGCTTCCTGTCTGTACTTTACAACTCTACTCTTCACAGTGTTACAAATAGTGCATATTACTGATTAATTAATGATTTATTAGGGATATTGAACCGTTCAACTCACTTATATTTATACTTCACCATCTCTGTACCCTACACTAATACCAACACAGTGAAAATAAAACCTGCTTCAAAAAATGGCATTTTCGTGAAATGAAGTAAGGTTAAACTATCGCAGCTACAAAATACCGGCGCCCACGTGCTAACAAGACGCGCGCTGATTGGTCAGTTAGCTGGCAAATCTCTCGTTATTGGCTGGCACACCGACTGCAGACTATTATAGAGATCAGTTAATAACCGGTAATACAGAATTACAAGCTAATAATTACCCATGATCAGGCAGGATTTACGCTAAATATTTGGCCATCATTACACTCATTAGCTAACATGCTAATGAGGGGGGGGGGCTAACATGTGACCTACTTAGCCTCTCTTGAGCACTGGGCTCTTTTGCGGACGATTTTTATAAAATTCATGGAATTTGTTGGTTTCAGCTTACCTCGGAGAGTTTGTTTAGGAATCAAAACTATTCAAAATATTCAAACTATGCGAAGCAACTGTGAAACATGCAGAAAGTAGACAGTTAGGTACTATGGCAACACTTATTACAAAAGCTAACTAAAGTGGAATATGTATCGAAAGCAGGAAATTGAAAATAGAATGTATCTGAAAATAAGCACGATTTAAGTGATTGGCTAGGATTCTTAAACTCGTTATATTACTGATACGTACAATTAAGACGTTGATTTGAGTGTAAGTATAAATTAATTATTTAATTTAATCGAGAATTATCCTATTAATTAAGTTACTCAGTGAGTGATGAATGAGGTGAATACATAAGTTTTGAGAACCCTGGTTCAGAGGATCAAATATTGTGTACTTATAGGGTAGCTCCATGAGATGAAGAAAAGATGAGACTAAAGGGATCTTTAACAGGATGCAAAATAAGATCACCCCCTCCCCCCAAAATATTAACAACTAAGAACATAAAACTAACAGTTTTGAGTTGAGAGATGGTTGAGCGTGCGTCGTTGTCACCGTATATCAGTTCCTGTATTCTAGACTCGTGCTGAAAAGAGGGGTTGTGAGAGCCTGTTATAAAGTTATACCTGAAAATTAAAGCTAGATTTACTATACCTCTACTATACCTATACGTATTAGCATCAACTTGTATTTTGTTTCTAAATACAAAAACAGGTTTATCGTACGACAACATGCACCTGAAACTAATAACACGACACTTTTGTAGCGATACCGTGAATATGATGGTTTGGTGTAACAATCCCGCTCACATAGTCGGCTCCTCGAGATTTCTCAATGCAATTAGACTTATTAGACCCTAAATAACAAAATTGACTCGTGTACATTTTATCACCGCTCTTATATTTCTCAAAACCACGCCCTTTTTCGACCGCACCCATTTCGCGACTCACATTATAGAGTATCTCAGCTTCTGATTGAGATACCTAGAGCTCATGTGCTCATCAAAATGTGTGCAATATGTATAATGTATACATAATGTATGATAGATAAGTGCTGTGAATACACTTAGGGCCTTAGAGTAGTGGTTGCTGAGCAATCGACTTAATTAAGCATGCGAGTGGCACTTAATGAGCAACAATTACATCTTCAAGTTCTGTAATATCACCTCTTCTGTAATATCACACAATCGTGTTCCGGTCAATGAAGGAATACACTTTATTTTGTACCCGTTCACCTTCCGTCTGTGTGACTTTTTAACTTCTTCAATCTTTATCATCAGAGATATGAAAAATCCAAAAGAGATGGGTCAAGCAGATGATGTTACTCAGTCAGCAAATCTTTGCCAAAGGTCCTATAATTTATTTCAAAATCAAATATTTTTCTAAGACATTGCCTAAAATTTCAGAGTTCACAACCTCTATTGTACTCCATTTACCTTACCCACAACAACAAAACACTTCTCAATAGTTTTATAGTACGGAAATTGAAAAGAAAAAGAACTAATCACTAAATTTGAGCAATTAGCATGGTTCATGCTTTAACTCATTAAGTTTTGTAAAATGGCACAATGCCGACCTGCTATTTTACAGCTGTTACGGTAACAGCCCTCTAATAGCCGGTTAATAGCAGGCTAATAGCCGGTTATTAGCCAGCTAATAGCCAGCTAATAGCCGGTTAATAGCCATAATGAAACACAAGTAAGCGTCGGCTATTAAGCCGGCTGAGATCGACATGAATATTGAATATACCCACAACTATGGTCAGGGCCAAACGTTTTTCATGACGTAACATCATGATCAAAAACATCGGAAAGTATAATTACTTTTATGATGCAGCGAATTTTAATAATATCGATATTTTATTAAAAATGAAGAGAGGATGAATCTTTGCAAATGAATAACTAGTCAACTGGTTTACAACCCCTAACAGATTGAAATTGAGTCACTTTCGCCCATACACACAATGTGTTGAAACTTGCAATGTGGACAATGCGAATGTGTTAATTCTAATCTTCAGCAAATGTGTTAATCCTAATCTTTAGCGTTAATGTCGATTAGTATTGTGTTAAAATATTGGAAACTCTCACTCAATTATACTCATCATCAGCTCAACTAGCCCCAGTCATTCTGCACATATAATTTTAAAACCCTCTATGAGGGTGAATCTATATTTATACATCTTGAATTGATTGGAAGCTTAGTGTAAGATATTGACCTTGCAAGTTATTTGTTATGTTACACCCAACAAATATGTAAAGCAACGTTATACACTACTTTATATACACTGTTGAATAATCCAAACTGAGAGTACCTATAGGATGCAAATTTGGCGAATGTTTCAGCTTAATTGTGATGTTTGTTCTTCAAATTTGTCGCACATACAGCAATTTTAGGCAGTTGTGTTGTCTCTGATTAAAATGGCTATTAACCTGCTATTGTCTGGCTGTTAGACAACTGTTAGGTATTTGTGCGCTCAAAATGATTTTAGAGGGCCGTTGCGCGCATTTTGGTGTTTATCTGAGCTTTGTTTCTCTATCAGAAGCTGAGATACTCTAGAAAAAAAGGTCGAAAAGGGCGTGGTTTCGAGAAATTTAAGAGTCGTGATAAAGTGTACCCGAGTAAATTTTGATATCTAGGATCTAATAAGTTAAATAACATTGCGAAATCTAGGGGAGCTGACTATGTGAGCGGGATTTTTGGTAGGTACAGAATTTGTTGTAAAGTGGTGCTGTATATTGAATAACATGAAACATTAAAATATTTAAATAAACAGTGGTGGTGGCGGGTATAGATGGGTCACAATAAACTATAAGTGTAACACAAGTAACCTGGTAAGGAGGATGTAGGAGCTGTGCAGCACTACTAGACCTATCAGGAGGTCTACTATCCCACCCACTCCACGCGTTCAAACTCAATCTCTCCAGGAACTGGTCTCCAGATGAACACCGCCTCACACAAGGCCGGGACACATCCCCCGGTTCAGATTGGTTCATCATGATCATGTGATTGAGGTTCCTGGTGGCAGCGGGGCGGGTAGCACCCCCACCCACTACACTATGGGTGGGGGTGTTGGGGGCCAGTTTGCGCCGAGGTCTGGGTATAATAACAGTTGGTGCCGGGTTGTGGAGGTTCCAGCCGACTGACAAGCTCAGATTGCTGGTATCCAACATGATAGATCTGGCTGACAGATCGGGGTTAGAGCTCCAAGGTTTTGATAGGTCAATATCGGACACGTGACCTGAGTTGTTGGGGGTCTGGTGGTCAGGTTTACTGAACACCTCGTCATCTGAAGAGTGGAGGTCGGAGAGGGAGGACAGGGAGCAGATCCCGGAGGAGGTTGGAGATGTCATCAGAGGAGCTTCCTTATACTTTCAGAAACAACGAACGTCAGCACTGTGTTTTATTTTCTCTGGCATCTACCTCTTGAGATTATACCGTACTATTATAGTTGGTCAAATTCAGATCTTGAGAGAAAACACATTTGAACAGAGCAAAAAGAGAATTAGTTTCTAACATGAGTCAACGACCAGCTGGTGACTATAAAATATATATAAAATATATATATATCACATTAAGCAAAGTGCAAACACACATTGAGCATGTTCATTATTCGGCCCAAGAAAGATTTTCTACGGAAGAGTTTCTAATAACTAGTGCAGAGTTCCGCTACAGTATAATTATATGTAAATAGTAAATTTGACGAAGCGAAGAGAGTCTCAAACGAAGTAGAGCGAGTACAAAGGGTTCTAGCGAGGGGAGAGTCGCAGTGAGGGCACACAATAACTAGGACCACCAGAGAGAGAATACAAGAGCAGCACCTATTTAGCATTTATAGTTCCTTCAGAGAGTGATTCTACGGGGTTTCCATTTGGAGGGTTTTAGAGAACAGGGTTTCCATTTGGAGGGTTTTAGAGTACGCTAAAACTGCTGGTGCAAATTAATTTAGCTTAAACTGCTGGTTTAACTTAGTTTAGCTTTGTCTAGAGTACAATTAGGGCATTGGTTCGCTTAATTTCATGTACGTTCGAGTAAACCAGTAAACTGTTGCTACCAAACAGACGTTTCCTTAATACCTCTACCCAACGGAAAACTAGGCTTCACTTACAGCTCCAGTAGTTTTGTCTCTACCCAACGGAAAACTAGGCTTCACTTACAGCTCCAGTAGTTTTGTCTCTACCCAACGGAAAACTAGGCTCCACTAACAGCTCCAGTAGTTTTGTCTCTACCCAACGGAAAACTAGGCTCCACTAACAGCTCCAGTAGTTTTGTCTCTACCCAACGGAAAACTAGGCTCCACTAACAGCTCCAGTAGGTTTGTCTCTACCCAACGGAAAACTAGGCTCCACTAACAGCTCCAGTAGTTTTGTCTCTACCCAACGGAAAACTAGGCTCCACTAACAGCTCCAGTAGTTTTGTCTCTACCCAACGGAAAACTAGGCTCCACTAACAGCTCCAGTAGTTTTGTCTCTACCCAACGGAAAACTAGGCTCCACTAACAGCTCCAGTAGGTTTGTCTCTACCCAACGGAAAACTAGGCTTCCACTAACAGCTCCAGTAGTTTTGTCTCTACCCAACGGAAAACTAGGCTCCACTAACAGCTCCAGTAGGTTTGTCTCTACCCAACGGAAAACTAGGCTCCACTAACAGCTCCAGTAGGTTTGTCTCTACCCAACGGAAAACTAGGCTCCACTAACAGCTCCAGTAGTTTTGTCTCTACCCAACGGAAAACTAGGCTCCACTAACAGCTCCAGTAGGTTTGTCTCTACCCAACGGAAAACTAGGCTTCCACTAACAGCTCCAGTAGGTTTGTCTCTACCCAACGGAAAACTAGGCTCCACTAACAGCTCCAGTAGGTTTGTCTCTACCCAACGGAAAACTATAGGCTCCACTAACAGCTCCAGTAGTTTTGTCTCTACCCAACGGAAAACTAGGCTCCACTAACAGCTCCAGTAGGTTTGTCTCTACCCAACGGAAAACTAGGCTCCACTAACAGCTCCAGTAGTTTTGTCTCTACCCAACGGAAAACTAGGCTCCACTAACAGCTCCAGTAGGTTTGTCTCTACCCAACGGAAAACTAGGCTTCACTTACAGCTCCAGTAGTTTTGTCTCTACCCAACGGAAAACTAGGCTTCACTTACAGCTCCAGTAGTTTTGTCTCTACCCAACGGAAAACTAGGCTCCACTAACAGCTCCAGTAGTTTTGTCTCTACCCAACGGAAAACTAGGCTCCACTAACAGCTCCAGTAGTTTTGTCTCTACCCAACGGAAAACTAGGCTCCACTAACAGCTCCAGTAGTTTTGTCTCTACCCAACGGAAAACTAGGCTCCACTAACAGCTCCAGTAGTTTTGTCTCTACCCAACGGAAAACTAGGCTCCACTAACAGCTCCAGTAGGTTTGTCTCTACCCAACGGAAAACTAGGCTCCACTAACAGCTCCAGTAGGTTTGTCTCTACCCAACGGAAAACTAGGCTCCACTAACAGCTCCAGTAGTTTTGTCTCTACCCAACGGAAAAGCTAAAACATTAAAATACCGCCGGAAAACTTTGTCTACACTTTAAAGCTGGAAAATGGAAAGGAAAACAAAA